GGGGCGGGCGGGGGGCGCGGCGCCTGCGCTGGGGCGGCTCTTCCCGCTGCGCTGCGAGGCGGCTCCGCACGGGGTTCGGCACCCGGCGCTCCCGCCGGCCCGCGCTGGGCGCCGGGGGGCTCGGCTGGTTCCGGAGCTTGCCCTGACCGCTCCTTCCCCTGCTGTTAGTCAGGAAGACTGGACATAGCCTTAAGCTGCAAGGGGAGGTTTATGTTAGACATTAGGATGAAGTTCTTCACAGAAAGGGTGATTAGGCAGTGGAATGGGCTGGAGTCACTGTCCCTGGAGGTATTTTAAAAAGATTGGACGTGGCACTCAGGGCCAGGGTCTGCTTGACGAGGTGGTGTTGGGTCATAGGTTGGACTCGATGATCTCAGAGGTCCTTTCCAACCTAATCGGTTCTGTGGTTGTATGCCTCCCACCGGGACAGAGGGCTCGGCAGCCCGGCACGTTGAACGCTGTGTTCTCTATGCCGAGACTGGTCACATTAAATGGAACGAGTGGCAGCTCCGGCCATTTTGGCCTGTGGTGTGCCAAGAGCCCGTCCCTATGCAAAGCACGGCACGGGCTCCACTGGATCTCCTCTGCTGTCACTAGTCCACGTTCAGCTGTTCAGCTGTGTGAGAAATGCCATGAAAAAAGTAGGAAATGGCTCGGCTGCCAGCACTGTCCCAGGAGCAGATGTCGCTGCCTGCAGAATGCCACAGGCAAGGCTTCCCTCAGGAGTCACACAGCGCCTAGAGGTGTTTGCAGGCTGCAGCAGCTTGCCTTCATCAAGAACTAAAGGGCCTTTGCATCATGTTTTCTACCAAGAATTCTTGAAGACACCAATCCTAATGTGAAACTTTGGGATCTGGCTTACGCCCAGACTTCACCCTGGTCCTGCATTGGTTCTGGGCATCTACCCTGAGCCCGCCCAATCCACCAGCCACTGGCGGCAGGGGACTTGTCTGCTTCAGCGTCACTCTCAGTCAAACTGAGGGTACTTACGTTCCCAGACCCTGCAGACAGAGTGTGGTGGAAGCCTTTCTTGACTGACACGTCCTAAAACACGGGTAGTTCAGCTGGCTAAAGCTGGTTCAGGAAGCAGTACAGGACATGGGTTCTTCACTCTACACATAAAGACCTTCCTCAGTCTGTCCTGCTGTTAAAGGGAAGTTTGGAAAGTTGCAGACCAGCACTGTCATTGTCTCTAACTTAAGTCCCCTGCTGTGGTGCTCTGGCCATTTTTTATTTTTCCTGCGCAAATCTTGCCATTATCACTATGATATGGTATGGGGCCATATAGTCTGTCGTTACTTCTTGATGGCTTTTCCTGCATCCAACTTCCCCACTGCTTCTTCAGCAGTGGTGACATTCCTTCCTCATCCCCATACTCTACATTGTGGCTGGGGAAAGAAAGAGAGAGGTGTGTTTCAAGGCAAGCAGGGTAGTGGAGGGGAATAAACTGCTGCATCACACCAGTGACAGGTGGATTTGTGCGAATGCAAAACCTAAACCTGACAAAGACAGGAGTTTGCATAAGCTGAATTTTAACCTGTTGGAAACGAGAGGTTCCTCTACAGTACAAATTGAGGATTTGATTATCTACAGTTGGCTGTCTAGGCTGGCTGCCCTGTCTGGCTGGTGGCTGCTGAACTGAGGCTCACCTGGGCAGAGTCAGAGCTTTGATCTGGAAAAGCAGCAGGGCAGCACCCTGTGAATGGAGATGTGTGCTTGAACTGTACATTGCCACACTCTGGGAGGCAGAGCGACTCTACTGCCTCCATACTCTCTCAAATGTTATGACCACGGTGGGGGTTTACTGTTTTAGCATCAGCTTTCTTTACAGCACTGACCTGCATTATCAAGTTTTGCCAGATTCCTGACACAGTTTTATTTTTAAAAAAAGTTTTGCTTTAGTATAACATAATGATATTCAGAATACTGTTTCAATTGCATAACATTCATTTTTGGCCTCCTTTAAAGTTACATTTTAGGAGTATCTGTATGACAAGTACATCTGTGTAGCTAAGGACATGGTTAAAACAAACACTGGTGTGCTGAGTTGCAAACTTACGGGAAAGATTTCTTCATTTAACAATGGAGATGTACCATGGGGGATCTTTGCTTCTTGTGAGAGAACCTCACAGCCAAGCTGCTGAACTGCCAGTGATAGCTGCAGTGTTAAGAAAGTTTAGAATGTATAATAGTAATGAAAATACACAGTGGCCTACTTCAAATGCTTCTGCCTGTGGTTTAGCTGCCAATGCAATCTCACTGCACAGAAAACAGCAATATCATTTACTACATTTGTTCTAACTTTGGGTGTATCATAAATGAGGACTAACATTTTGTTTAGATGCACAAACTTCATGATGATCCACTCGTCTTTTTAATTAGCATTTCAAATAGAGAAAAAAAAAAGAACTTATTACAATTAGCAGACTTATAACTTTTTTTAGTTACATATCTCTCCTGCCAACCATTCCAAAATGACCTGCATAATTTAGCTTAAGTTTGCTTTTTAATGCAGGTTACAGACGAGTGACACCTAGCTGAAGGGGGAAGTACTTTGAATATGCATGGTCTTCTATTTTGTATGTATCTTCATATTTTCATATGCAATTAGATATTTGCATTTTGAACTGTATTTCTTGACAGAAGCAAAAAAAAGTAGACTGTGTAAAATACACAATCTATACTACAAGGTTACTAGCAGAATTGAAAAGAATTTTTCAAGTTTCAGGTCCTCATGAACATGTTTAAGATGCTGCAAAGTATTAAACACCGTTCACCTGTATTTCCAGCCCTCTGAAACACTGAGCAGGTAGATTCTGTTCTACCTGAATTGTTCTGTTCTGAATTGCATTCACCCTGTATGATGCCAGGAGATACCATCGCTTCCCTTGAGCTCTGGCAGGTTCTCAATTCAGTGTTCTGACCTTAATGAAGGAACTACTTGGTAACCGTGTTGCTTAATTTTCCACTGAAATAACTATTAGAAGATATGTATCTGTGGATCATATAGATTATATAAGTATTAAAACAATTTAAAAAATTGAGAGACTTACAGAAAAATAGGAATATGTTATTTTAATTAAGCAAAAACAGAGTTATAATCACTCTTTCTAAAAATAAAATTAGACTCTTTATCAATCCTTAACATCTGCATTTAATATTTTCTTCTAAACAAAAATACAGATGTGATTATGTAGCAAATTACAGTCTTTGACAACGTATAGTATTTACGTTCTCTTACACTTACTTTAATTCTAATTTGGTCATTAATACTTGATCCATTACTGCAACATGTTACTTGTAGTAAAAGTGCCACAATTGAACTATAAACATGACATTGCCATCTTAAAACTGCTTTGCTATAAACTGTAGAGAATATACAGAGTTACAAAGTTGTTGTGTTTTTATCAAAATATACAAACCCCCCCCAAACCTAACACAAGCTAACAATATTTTTCTTATGAACTATACAGTTATATAAAATATTTGTAAAATTATCTTTGTATTTATAAATATTCTACCTTATTTGCTTTGGTCTATATTTATCACCATACAAGTCCACTTAGAAGATATCTTTGTGTACTTTCTTTGAAACATCTTTATACTTTCCTGTGTTTATTATTCTATTATCCTTATTTAAATGGAACCAAAGCTGCCATGAAACCAGTTTCTCAAAGGGTTCATAGCATTCACCAGTGACAGAATAAGCAAGTGGACTGTATTATTACTTCAATCAATACTGTATTATCATTTCCATTGTAGTTTTATTGTACCCAAGCTATAGTTTCTTTTAAAATATTCAAGAAGACAAAGTTAAGTAACAAATTGTGAACCATCACAGAGAATGAAGTCAAGAATCACTAACCCTTGTCATGACCTAATTTTTTAACACTTCACAGGGATGAACATGACTACCAGAAATGCAGATACGGTACAACAGAACCCTATCATATAAAATGCAACTTGCAGACATACACCTGCTTGGACTTTTTAAAGCATCTCCGTTAAAATGAATCACACTTCCACAACACAGTACTAACTGGAACATTTTGGTGGTGCCTTTCAGAAGCCCATTCTCGCAGCTCGCAGTGAGCTGTGCACTGCAGGCTCCCCACCACCCTTCGGAGCGGCAGGGTGAGGGAGGCAGAAGGCTGACACTCCTCCCTGCAGCAGCCCGCTCCTGGCCCGTCGCTGCTGGAATGGTCACTGGGGTCACTGAGAAGGGACATCTGAAGGTTAAATGTTGCATTTAAGGCATGGAGATCACAGGGAACCCCACAAACTGGCTCTATACTTGTTTATACACACCGATAGCCTCAGGGATATATATGGAAGCAAGAGTCTTATTTACCTACTCCTCTCAAACTCAAAGTATTTATGGGGAGTTGCTCTACTGTTTGTGTCCAGGCATTATTCCAGGAAGAGAAGGGAAACTGTCTGTATGTCCTTCTGTTGGAAAAACTATATTTCTAAAAGACAAGAGTTGCAGACCCACCAAGAGGTGGACATTTCTACACAGGACTTCTTTGTTTCATAAGAACAATTTTCTTTAGACCAATGCACCTGAAGAGTTCACCAGGCCACTGGCATGGGGATTTATGCAGTTTGGAAGACTGGCTATAGCAAGTTCCACTGAACTTTTATTAAATGTCTCGGAGATATATAAATTGGGAATACTTCTCACACCTCCACTCAGACTTAACAGTTATTATGATAACTACAAAACTGAATACGGAAAGGAAAAGAGTAGTTTAAACTCCTGAATGTTTCATAAAGGCTGAGTTACAGAAAAGCATGGCAGTACTCAAATGTACTTCGGCACACCCAAGCCCACGAAACACTTCCCACCTTCACTTTAGAATACACAAGATTACAATTATTTCCTTTATAAACACATTACTGTTGTAAAAAAAAAAAAAAAGCAATGTATGGTTTCTGCAGCAAAAAATCCTTCTACAGAATACACAATGAACCTACTTATTACTTTTGCTTCCAACAATTCTGATTCAAAACCAGAACTGTAAAATAGTTCAGTGACTACTTTCTTGTAATGTTAAGTAGAAGGGTCTGAGTTGGCCATTTTTCTTTTTCTCTATGCTAGAGTCTGTTGTGGCAAAAGTATTTTGGGTGTTCCAAATTAAATTTGTATTATTGCAAATACTAGTTTTTCTGTGTTATTTTTTCTTTTGCATATATTGACGGAAGAAATTTGACCTTACTGATACGTTTCCCCATTCAATACATCTTTATCTTTCCAATATATAGTTTTGGATTTTTTTTCTCTTTTGCACAATTGTCACTCACAGTATAACTTCTGGAGTTACATTTTGTTTATTTTTCACTTCGCTTCCTTCTGAGCCAAGGAAATGTGGATTTTCCAAAAGTTTACTGCTTTCACTGCAAAACTGCTCTTTTCTATCTTGTGTGCCTGGACTCTTGAATAGATGTTTCTTCTGGTGCATTCCCAGAGCAGCTGCAGTCTTGCAAATTTTGGGGCACTGAAAGCAAGCGTATCCTTTTCCATTGTGTTCGCGTACGTGCCTTTGCTCGTGGTTCCTTTTGGTAGAAAGATACAAGAAGCTCTGAAAGCAAAACTGACAGTGGTAGCGTTTTTCTCCAGTATGAATTCTTTCATGTATTTTAAGTGTTTCATTTAAAGTGAATGCCTTATTACAGTATTGGCAGACAAAATCTTTGACACCCAGGTGAATACGTTCGTGTTTCTGTAGATTACCAAGAACTGAGAAACATTTACCGCAGGTTTTGCAAGTGTAGGGCTTTTCCCCAGTGTGACACCTCATATGCATTTTTAAAGTGGATGGACTTTGAAATTGTTTTTGGCATAACTCACAAATGTAAGGCTTTGAAGCAGCTACATGCCAGTGTACGTGTTCTTGAGCTTCTGCTGTGGAAGACTGGTCTCTTTCACAGAGCTCACAGTGAAGATTAGGCATTTCTGTGTTCTCCTCCTGGCTGACCACCTTTTCCTCAGGAGCATTCCTGAGTGCATACTCTCGACTGCTTGTGTTGTGGCTTTCCATACCAGTGTTCTTGCTTCCATGCTTTTTCCTCCACTTGGTCTTTTTCATTTTTCTTAGCTGTTTGGATTTCTTTTTTGGTTTATAATTATAATAAGGTCTCCAGGGTTTATCACTGGAGTCCTGGTCACTAACATCATCACCCATTTCTGTCAGCTCTAGGCATTCTGAGCTGTAGAGTCTAGATGGGCTTTTTTCTTTTACCTCCATTTCTGGTTCTTCAATGAGATTGTCCTGTTTGGATTCGTGTTTGGATTTTCGACCCCTTTTACAGAACAGCTTAGATCCTAATATATGTCTTTTTACAATGGCTTCATTACCGATTTTTACTGTTATCTGACAAAGAGGCGCAACATTGCTGTCAGCAGATGTTCCAGGTAAGGCAGGCTTTGCAATGTACGTTTCAGTTTTACTGGACTCTTGGACAGTATTTGTAGTTTTGCTACATGAACCTTCAGATCCTGTCATGTGCTGTGTATCCTCAGTTGCTTCTGCTCTGCTGTACAGCAGTGTTTTCTTTTTCTCCTTAATAGTTTTTGATTTTGTAATGCATTTCCCATAACTATCCGACCCATACTTACAGTCATCACTCACTGACTGACTGGGTAGGTTATTTGAAGATTCTGTCTTACTGTTCTCTATTGAAGTGACTGTTTTACTGTGCATTATTACTGATGAAACTCTGCTACTGTGCATTATAACAGAGGGTGCAGAGCTGCTGTAACTGATGACAGAGGTTGACTTTTCATTTACATTAGCTAAAGACACAACTGAGGAATCACACTCCTGTGAACCTGAGTCATTTGCAGCAGTAGAAACTCTTTTTTCAGCTGGGAAAAAGTCCCTCTGCAGGTCAGAATTTAAGATACCTACTCCTCCAGAGAAAGAATTCTGAGTATTTGTGGAAGATGCTGTATTATTACATGAAGATGTATCCAAGGCCAGAGTTCTGTTGTTTGATATTATACTATGTTGAAAATTCAGTGGTGGCAGCTCAGAGCTAAGAGAGCTCGGAATGAAACAGTTAGTAGAAGGAGTTTCATTAGCCTGGGTAGTTGCTGGAACATTTTCATAGGAAGAATTTCGATAGGATTTATAAGGCAGTCGCCTGCATTTCATAGGTAAGAGTCGATACAGTTTGTATGGGTACATGTTTGGTTTTAAACCCCCATTGGCCGTCTTTTTATTTACTGACAGGCGATGGTCAATTGCATGGAAAGACTTCTGGTGATTTTTCAGTATATAGTAAGTCATGAAGGTCTCCAGACAGAAAATGCACTGGTAGCGCCTCTCTCCAGTGTGCCAGATCTCGTGTCGGGTGCGGTACTCAGCTAACGCGAAGACTTTATTGCAGTAGTGACAGGGGTATGTTCTCCTCCAGGAATGCACATTTGCATGTCTTCGAAGGCTGGACAATGTGACATAACTACGCTTGCAAACAACGCAAGTGTATAATATCTGCCCATCAACGACTTTAACCAAATGATCCGTTTCTGGTAAAGTGCAGTTTGCATTAGAACAATCAGTGATGCTGTTTTCAGACAACAGAGGCTCTGTGTTCGCACAGGAGCTTCCGTTCCGTCCCTCTGTAGTAGTACAGTTATCTGCAAAATTTTGTTCATTTCCATTGTGAGCCGATAAGTTACTTGATCTCGTGCAGACTTGTTCATGACTTTCCAGTATATTTAGATTTGCAAACTGTTTGTTGCAGTATTTGCATATGAAAGTTTCCTGATGCTCTGAGTGGAGCTGAAGGTGAGCAGTGAGTAACACGCGGTCACTGAATGATTTTGCACAATAGTTACAAGTGTAAACAGGTGGAGTGGCTGTCGCCCCAGATGCAGAGACATTAGCAGAAGTATTTCCCTCTTCTCTGGATACATGTAAATCTCCTGTTTTATCTTGAGGTTTTGGAAAGGAAGTAATTGCCTGATCACTAACTGCTTTGTGCTGGGCTTCTGCAGTGGTTACAGTGGAGGCTGGTACTTTTGCTACAGCCAAACCAGTGCCATGGGGTTTAAAGGCTGACTTAGGAGTACTACCTGCTTGCTTTCCCTGCTGAATGACTGGGGTGGCTCGGTGATTTTCATAGTGGTCCTCACCCACCTGGTATGAAGGACTGCTGTCCTGGTCAACAAAAGGTGCTCCTTGTGAAGTATCTCCCCCAGAAGAAACTGCATAGGAGTGTTCAGCCAAGGTACTGGCTGGCTCAGCATCTTTGCACACATTGCTTCTGTCGAGGCCAATGCTGGGAGCTTGTATTGTGTCAGACACCTTTTTAAAGCTCGCCCTCAAATCAAGGGGAGAAAACAAATTGTTTTCTGTTTCAAAAATTGAGAATGCATTTGTAATTCGTGGTCCATTTGTCACAGCAGAATCTTCATGTCGCTTTTCATGTTTTTCCTCTTTGACAGTCCCTTTTTCATTAACACAGTATGAATAGGGACAGGGGGAACTTGAAAAATTTACATCTGTAAGATCTTCCAGAAATGATATTCCCAGTTTTTTCCCTGCAGCTGCAAGGTCCGTTACAGTTTCCTGCCTCTTAACAACTACTGTGGAACTGTAGATGTAGTTCAGTATCTCTGTAAACACTTCAGCTTTGAGATCATCTAACTCCAGTACGTGACCTGAAATACAGATAGTACGACTCCAAAAAATGTTTTTAAAGTAAAGGCTTGAAGCTGCCAGCACATTACTATGGGCTTTAAATTTGGTATCTTCCACAATTATGGTGACATCGCATAAAATACCCCGAATGCGCTGTTCATTTAAAATGGAAAGTACAGTGTCACTGTGGAAGTCGTCCTTGAGGTCCTTTGAATGGGACATGACTGTCATCTACAAGAGAAAAAACCACCAATTAGAAGGCATTTCTCATCCATTTCAGTTACACATTACATTATATATTATTTTTATGTATTTTTTAGTTGATTAACTTTAAAAATTTAAGAATGAGTAAAATTTTGTCATAATATTTCAGGTTTAAGTCATCTTATATTCTCTGGTGCCAACACTACTGCAGGAAATGTCTGTCCAGATCAGGAAGGCAGGAGCACCAGTAGCTCCTCAGCAGGAGGCAGAGGATCCCTCTCACTCCCTCCCAGCTTGAACCTGCTGTGCATCCTGAGCCTTTCACCGAGAATGCAGCCCATGCCTTCTGCTCTGCCAGCAGGGGAGCCGCTCAGGGTCACCCCGAAGGACTCCCTGAAGCCTGGATGGAATTCCCCAGCACGCCACGGAGGGACCTGGCACAGCTGAAGGGGAAGGCTGTGCTGCCGAGGTTCTGTGCAGAGGAGGACTTTGCTTTCTGGGTTGTATGTCAGACACCGACTTCACAGCACAGCTGCATCTGACCTCCTTACTAAGCTCATATTTAAATCACAGCAAGAGAGTCTCAGTTTCATGGTAAGGCTTTATAAGCAAATGAATGCATGAGGAACACAATTTGGTAGACAACAGTGAAGTACCTAAAACACTGTTTATGTGAACAGATTTTTTTTTAATAGTGATTAAATCCACTCAATAATTAACATTACTTCAAAATTATTGAAAAGTTCTGAATAAAACAAGTAGAAAATAATGGAGTAACAAATAGAAAATAAGAGAGTTTTTCCCTTCAGTTACAGCTCATATAGAGTGTTCACACTTTATAATTAGTGTGTTCTTGATTTCTTTCAAATAGTAAGATTTAATTGCAATAATAAGTACCATTAAATAACTGCTAATATAAAATAATCAGGTTTAATGCTGACAAAACTTATTTAGATTAGCCAGGCTGTTACTATATGAATATACTAGTTCATCCCATTGAGAAAAAATATGCAAAATATGATTGAAAAATATTCTGGAAAAAATTGATTAATTTGCCAGTTGAATTTGAATTTTGACAATTTTTGTCAACTGAATTTTCTGTCTGGTGAAAATTTGTTTTCAAAAGATGTTTTTTCTCAAATTCAGATCTGTACCACACAATGAGGTTTATTCTTATTTTTCCCATGTCTGGAGTAGAGTTTTGAACTACTACTGTCCATTTCTGACTTCAAGTCATGAAGAAATAGCTGTGCTAGTGGAACTTATCACTACAGTAAAAAAAAAATTACACTTCTTAAAGACCCTTTTTTTAAACTTGTGGAAGTAAAATGCACCTTAAAGAATATTACTGACAGAAATTTTGTAAGACAGGCTGAAATATTACAACACTCTCAATCAGGATTTACCTTCTAAACACTCCATCTGCTGCTCCAAACTTTAATGTTCAGCTTTAAAAATTTTATGATGACCTTTACCCTCAAATACTTTAAGTTAAGAATGCCAATGTATAAGATGGGTTTGATCCAACTGGCAAAATAAAGGTTTGACCCATATTCATTAAGCAAACAGCAATGGCCATTTAGAACATCGGCTCATTCACCCAAAATAGTGGTGTTATGAATGAGATTCTATATGTCTAATTTAATAATCAACAAAATTTAATTTTGCAGCAATTTTAATTGAACAGCAGTTTAATATAAATTAATACAATCAAGTATGTTAAATATAATCACGCATATTAAAAAAATTGGCAGTGATTAATTTATTATTATTAAGGTTCATATAAAGCATAAGCAAAACCAACCAGGGTACGGGGAGGGCTCCTCACCCTGCCTCATGCACCAAACAAAGGAACCCGAACTACACTTACATACTGTAGGCTAATACATATTCATCAATATTTTCCAGAAATCTCCTCCTATTATCAATTCTTGAACTCTACATCACTACACTGCATAGCACATGCTCCATTGTTGCTAGGGTGTCTCCTGCCTTTTTGGTGGTCTTTTCAGAGGAAGGCTCACTGTCTTCCTCGCTGCCCTCTGAACAGTCTTACAGTTTGTACACATGCACTGGGCTTTGTGTTTTCTAAGTAAGCATTATGTTCCAAATAAGCCTTATTATTTCATAGATAAAACCACTACTTGGATTCCATACCTGGAATCATCCCAACTTTGCTCATCCCAAGACTGATTCTGTTGTCTGGAATCGTCCCAACTTTGTTCATCCCAAGGTCAATTTTGTTTTGGGATCTTGCTTATCTCAATACTACATCCTGTATCCTGTTTGTCACATGTACCATTTGCAATGGGGCCCATCTGCTTTGTAACACTAATCACATATACTTTTCCTTCATTATAACAATTATTTTCCAAAATATTGATGTAGTTACAATTTAGTTAGCACAAATCATATCTATTTATCACACTGGGAAGTAATCTGTTCTGGAAAATAGGGCCTCTATCACAAAGGTAAGTAATACAAATCATACACTCTTGCTCTAACTCATCTAATTACACTTAGCACACTTTTATCACAAATCCACAAACAACATCCCTGCAAATCAAATTACACAAAAAGTAGCAACAACTTTACCACAAAGACAAACCAAACATACTATGAACAAGACTGTAGTTTAGTACATTACAGATGAAGCTTGGAAGTAAAATTTTTACCTTGCAGCTTCTATCAGGAAAGGTGTTATCTATGCAAATAGTCAAAATTTCTAATAGACTTTGACGGCTGAGAATTTTCAACGCACAGAATTCGGAACAAAACTGTGATTCACAAAAAATACCTCTGATGTTTCCCATTATATGCCATGGATGTCAAGAATCGAATTCATCAATAGAATGGTGATAGAAACATTCATGAATATTATTTTGATTATTTGATCACTCTCAGCAGCTGTAAATCTAGATGCAATGTTCTGTGCCTTGAAATGTTAAAATCATAGTTTATGACAGGTTTGTTCATGACACTAATTTGGCTTACAATAAGTGATACTTACTCATTTGGAATGGCAACCTGAAATTCACAGTGTTCAGATACAGTTATCTGCTTTGGTTGGGTATCTAAAAACTCAGATGGGAACTGTAGATAGTTTCTGGCGTATGGAGTCTACAGCAAGCATACTGACAATTCTTTTCTTCCAGCACAGCCACTATTCCATAATTGATTCCTTTTTCTCATTGACAATGTCTGAGATTACATCTGACTTGCTCATGTGATGTGGTATTAGAAACCAACTGTCACACATCAAAAACATTTCACAACAGGAGCTATTGATAGGGTTATTTCCTGAGTATAGGAAATAAATGATGTCAACTCTACCTCCCAGTGAACTGCCCCACAGGAACTTGCCTGTGTTTTTTCTCTTTCTTTATTGGAGACAGCTGGTTTTAGTTCAAAGACACATCATCTGACAGACTGTTTGCTAAGTGTATCAGGCTGCTAATGCCATGCTGAGAGGCATACAAACCCAAGTGGGTTTAGTACAAGTCTTATTATTCAACTAATTATCTTAAAATTTATCTTCCTAAGGACAAAAGTGAGTATTTTAAATTTCTACTTGCCATGTATCTAGATTGCCAGCTTTTGCAATCCTGGACAATTTGGTATACTAAACTAGATTCCTTGTGTCAACATTGTAGAAATGATCATTTGATATTCGGTAATTTAATTTTTTTTTCTCTGTGTGCTAAACCATAAGCTAAATATCTAATTGGAAAGTCATACAAAAAACTTCCAGAACACATCAGTTTTCAGAGCCAACACTTTTTCCTTCTTCATCTCAACCTACACATACCTCAAATAGTCCATTTATTCATGTCTGTAATGATTCTCTACTGCCTTCTATTTCACCTGCCTTGCTTCTTGCATTTGTAAAAACATGTCTGAAATGCTATAAAATCAAAATGCCCTACCTAACACACACATATAAATGGAGTATTCTAGGAATTTTTTTACATTCCATTTGCAGTTCATACTGTAAAATGAAAACCTGCTCTTCCAAGGAAGCACTACCAAGAACCAAGATACATGGAGATCAAACTTTTCAGATGTGTTAGTATCAAATATTTTTCATTAAAACACTGGAAAATCCATTCAGAATGTAACAACTCTTCTGTATGATTTTTATTATAGAGTTACAGAAGAAAATTTAGTTTTTGTAAAAAAAATTAGTATTTGTAAATTTTTCCCAAAACATAGTAAGTACCATTTGACCTATTAAAAACCAATAAAACTCCTCAGCCAACTATTCCCTCTTTTTTCACAAATCTGTCTGTTAATTTCATACTCTTTACTCTCAATCCAGACATAAATACTTTCTTAGGAATCTGAACAGCACCTTTGTAGCGTTACCTAATGGTCTTTGGTACACCTATGAATAACTTCAGGTTCAGAACAGCAGAATTTTTGATTGGGGGAGGTTACAATATTATTTTCAGATTTTCTGCAAATACAGGAATAGACTTAACCTGTCCTTAAAAGTTGTTGGAATCACTTGGAAAAGTAAGATTTAAATATTCATCTGAAACGTAAATGTAATGGTCAGTAGGTTTATTAAATTATAACAGTACCTTTCCTGATATCAACAGAACACCACTCCAGGACAACAGTCACAAATGAAAATAAGTAATATTGAAAGTTAATGTCAAGATCAGAGATTGATGCATCCAAACACAAATTTGACTACTAATGCCTCACAGATGACACTGCTAATTATAAATAGAGAAGCCAGCTCTAGGTGGACACAGCTGAGAGTAGAAGCTACTGTTAATTTTTATATTAACATTACTCTGAAGTCAACAAAGAGTTCAGAAGACGTTTTACTGGCCCATGAGTACCAAATACAAACTTTTTACTACCACAGAGAACTATTACAATCTAGGAATATTCTTTTAACTTCTGCTTATCTTTTGAAATCCACTGCCAGGCGAGTGTACCCCATTATGTATGAGATTATTCTATTCCACTTCAGTCAGCTGAATTTGAAAGACAAGCTAATGGCATAACAAAAAAACTCCAAAGCGTAAATGGCAGTTGCTAGTACCCAAGCAAAATCAAAACCAGCAAGACAAAAGAAGAACTGCAGTAAGAATTCTCCCTGTTTTCTTACTCCGTGAATTTCTGCTGGGTTTTTAAAGTGCTAATACATTCTATGTTGGTACTAACCAATAGGACACTACAGAAATATGTTCATTCCATATCTTCCTTATGCTCAATTTCACCCCACTCTGTAAAGGAACTTTGAGGTCTCTCTTGTTTCCAGTTGGCTTCCCCAGATGAGGAGAAACATTCACCTGTATCTCAAGTCTCCTTAAGGATGCTGGTTTCGCTCTAGAGCCAAAATGGAGTCAGGCATCAAAAACAAATAAAAACCCCCAAACAAGTACCCACCCCCTTCCCCCCATCGTCCCAGTGCTGATCCTTGCTTACCTGGAAACTTACTGTCCAACCATCACTGCTAAGGCGACTGCCCAGTTTTTTATGGAATCATTCCACCAGTCCTATGCCGGCAGCAGGGCTGCCTGGATCATGGCACTGCAGCCTCCCTGCAACCTTGGGCATGCAGGGCCGTGTTCATGGTGTCTAACGATGTTAATGATGTCTAATGACTTTCAATAGCTCGCAGGAGCGTGCAGCTTAGTGCTCACTCTACAGAGCTACACGTTACTTCAACTGCATTGAGAGACTTTCTCTGGACTCTCGCTGCTCACATCCTTCCTTCCCTGTTGCTATAGAAGAGCATTACTTTAAATGTTTTTTTCAGCCTCGCGTTTTCCTCTTTTAATTCGACAGCGGTGGGGGGGGGCTGGGGTGACGGAATGTAGCCTAGGAGTATGTCAGTGTCAACACACCTCTGCTGCCCCAAGACGAGCATTCCTTCAGAGCCGGGGCTCTTCCCCACTATTAGCATCCCCACCTCAATTCTCTCACTCCCCGCTTTGCGCTTCCCACGACCTCTCGCACCGCACGGAACAGCCCGCGCGGCCTCGCGGCGCGTCGCTCGGACACGCAGGACCAGCCCGTGTCCCGGCGCTGCGGGGCTGCTCCGCTCCCACCGCCTTCCCGCCGCGGGTGGCCTCCCCCAGCCCCGGGGCCTCCCCTCCGCCCCCGCTGCGGCCGGGGCCGCGATCCCGGCCCGGCGGCGGCCGGACGGCGCGGGCGCCATTTTGCTGTGCCGATCCCGGCAATGGGATTGCCCGAGGTCTGCCGGGCAGGGCCGGGCCCGCGCCCTCCGCGGCACCGCGCGTGTTCCCTGTCCTCGCTCCGCAGCGAGCGCGGCCAGCGGGCACGGCGCCTCTCCGCCGAGCTCCTGGGAGGCAACCACTGGGAATTGACACCCGTGAGGAAACGCGGCGCTCCCAGAACCCGGCGCCTGCTCCACGGCCATCAATGCAGTGCTGTGCATGTCCCGGAGAATTCCTCTTGGACCTAACACAGGACTTCATTGCCCGACTGCCCTTCCAGGCCCTTCGGCCAGGAAGAAAGAGAAAGTATCTCTGAGCATCGATAGCTCTGTGCTACCTTCTGCCGCTTCCCTCCAGAAAGCAGAGATGAAACATATGCTTGAAGAAAAATACCTGAAATAGATTACATTTAAATAGTGAATTACAGTAACATTTACCCTTTTCGTTATCTGATTATATTATCTTTTTTAAAGCATATATAGAAACTCAACGTGAGGAATTTTGTTTTAAGCAGTGTTCTTACTCATAATTCAGGTTTTCTTGATATTTTTTACTGCCTCGGGAAACAACACATTACCATTAGTGCGTCATAAGCAGTAACAAACGCTCCCTTAGATAAAGGACAGAGCTTGATTTCATCTGTCCCGATGCTCCAACACATTTGTACAGTTCTCCCAGATATTGTCTCTCTCAGCCTCTCACTGTAAATAGTCAGCAAAGGCTGTTTTCTCAGAACTCAGAATCATGAAGCTTAGAGAAAAACTGGGCTTTGAGAGAGGTGAAAAACATCGTTAGGTAAATGAACAGTTGGGTTTTGTCTTAAAGCTTGCTTTTGTCCAAGGCTAACCTATGTTTATTTTTACAAGGTATTCTCTATAATGCTTCATGGGACAGAACCTTTATTTTTGAATCTTAAACCTACGCAGTAAAAGCCCTGAAAAACAGGAAATTATTAATTTTAGCAAAAATAAAAAAATTCAGAACTCTGAACTATTTAATCATTGTCACACTTGATGGGCCTGGAAGTTAGAATTTTAGTAGAGCCTCTTATGATAAATTATCTGCTTATGATAAATTTCCTGCTGCTTATCATTGCAGGAAACTGCTTAATATCAACATAATGTACAAAATCTATTATAAAGAGGGGAGGTCTTTCTTTTTTCCCCCAATTCTGTCTTGGAATTAGTGCTTTCCCAGTTGGTTAAAAGCTATGGAAAGACATTTTTTCCTGTCAGGAAGTTGTAACAATTTCAGTGACTTACTTATACACACATTTTTCACTAGCTTACACAGTCTACATTAAAAGTTCATCTTAGAAATACTGAACATTTCTGTGAAGAGTTTAATTCCTTCTGTAATTCTGGATCACTGGAATTCTTACCTATAAGTTCCCCTACTGAAGCCATGAATATGTTTTTAGCTTAGGGCTCTCTGCCACCAAAACACGATTTCTTTAATCTCATGGCAAATTGAGTGATGAATGACCAGTAGCTGTGGGAATGGAAACAAATAATTGAAGAGCACAGGGGTTTTGATGGCAAAGGCAGAGTGTGTCTCAGCATTTTCCCAACATTAATTTTTATTCCAACCTACATAATGGATAAGCAGTTTCATATTTACATGTCGGTTACTTTTAATCTTGGACTTTGCCTATTGCTTATTTGCTAGCTGTTTTTCATTTATTACTGTTTTAGATGTGTATATACATAATAGTATGTATTTATGAAGATTTTTGACGCAAGTGCCATAAAAAGTATTTGTGACAAATGTGTTGTCAGTAAAGATACAATAAAATAGATTAAATTAAACCTGTTGTAATCCCTTAAAGGAAATAAATGCCTTACTGAACAAGCATCTTGAAACAAATTTAAGGAAGATTAGGTTATTAATTCCCCCTAAATCTTAATTAAAATTGGTTATTTCAAATTGGTTTGAAAATCAGATGCATAACCATCATTTGTATAGCTGATATGTCCAACTTAGAGACAATAATTTATTTGTACTTAAACACTGGATGCTCTGGCAGTCAGTATCTATAAATAATATAATAGATACAGAGAACGAATAAAAGAATCAAGTTTTCTCTCTCTTTTTTAAAAAGGGTGTTTTCTTAAGGCAATTTTAGCTCATCCACTAAAAAAAGAATCACCTTTTCTGTGACTAGTAGTGTAATTGAAGGTACTAATTTCTGTGTGTATATATATGTCTATGTGTATATATATATAATTTGAGCTATTTGGAATTCACAGTCCCATCAGCTCATTGTGTGTTAAAAATATTTTTCAGAAAAAGTAATTATTTCTAAGGCTGTCTTGGCCTCATCCAAGATTTTACATAATCAGTCTAATGTTTCATGGAAAACCAACTGCAAGCAAAGAAAATGGAGGCACTGGTGCTGCAGCCAGACCTGTGCATGCACTGCAGTGATATCTGGGAGAAGTGGGACAAGATCCATTTGCTCTGCAGCCCTGATTGCAGGTGTAATCCCCAACACTAGTGATGTCCTTTAGAAACAGGGAGCTTGCTAGAGTGTATAGTACCAATTCCTATTAGACATAAATGATTGTTCATCACAGCACACAAATACTGTGTTCCTTGTAGAAGGAAGTCAAAGTAGTTTAGCATTGGATTATTTCTGATATGGTAAATCTGCAAGATCTAAAGAAAATTTTCAGCAAATCTCTTTAAAATGTATAAAACATTTCCAAGGTTACTGAAATGGTGGTGTTGGGAGGCTTTGCTGAAGCCTGGTAATCTTACTTTGCAAGTCATGGCATATGGTATTCTTTCTGTAAGAGTATTTAATGAAAAAAATGTGCCAATATTCCTCTCTAGACAAACAGTTTTAGTTCTTAAGCAACAGCAGGAAACAACATATAGAGCATTACTCAGTCTTGCAAATTCCTCATAAGCAACAGGAGTTTGGCCAGGATTTGACTGGTTTCTGTCTCAGTGCCTAGACCAGCCTGTCCAAGAGAAAAACGCTAGCATAGACTGTCACCCTCACTGCTCTCCCTGCTGAGGTGACAGCACCCAGGGGTGCTGCTGAGAAGGGAACAGCTCCTCTGTACCCTGCAGGCAGGCCAACCCTTCACTCAGGAGTGGGGCACAGCAAAGACCCAGCAGCCCAGAGTGACCTCAGCTCCCCTTTGTGGCCCATGAGCAAGGGAAGGAGTTCATGTGCAACCCTCTTCCTCTAATTCAGCATCAAATGGAGGGGGAAGGAGCCCAGTTACAGCACCTGCAGCAGCCCCCTGCCCTTCCAAGTCTGGTGGAGAGGAGAGAAACCTGGGACAGCTTGCTTGGCTCTCAAACTGTGAGCTGTGCACATGCACCAAACCAAGTCTTTCTCCAAGAAATGCTGCCTTCTTAAAATTTAGGCATGGCCTAATCAGAGTCCCATTAACACTAAACAGGACATATACAAGCAATTTTAAAAGGTGTAACTACATCTTTTTCACCAGTCTAAAAAAGAAAATGAAGTAACGACAATAACATAAATCCAAATTCTTCTCTTGCACAAAATACAAAAGCTTATGTTGTTCTGCTACTAAGAATCAGCTGGCCTTACATCTTGCTATCTCTGAACAATCTTATTATTATTTTCCATTTAAGTCTTTTTTTAATATGCTGCTGGCAAGCTGTTTTCTAGCTGCCTACACTTGTAGGACATATCAGTCCTTAGCTAACAGAGATCAGTTGCAAACATGAAGCTATGTTTACAGTCAGAGTAACAACAACAGACATTCTTCTGGTGATGACTGTTGTCAAATGTAGTGATTAATATATTTGAATAGCTTGAAACAGAAGAAGCAAACTAAACATTTAGGTTTTGTTCATTCAGAACAATTGCTATGTGGTTCCCTGTTCCCTGTTCTGTTATCAGAAAGGTGAAATATAAGTAGTTAAGTTCAGCCTCTATTTTCCAATTTTCAGAGCAAGCATAATTTGAATATGGGAGCCAGCATCCACAGTGCAGGCTTGGGGCTGCTGTTCTGGGTGAGGTGTGTGGGGGCCAGGCCAATGCATGGGTTCCTGCCTTTTACTACTGCTGATGTAGCAAATCACAATGGACTGGAAATAGAGTTCAGTCTGTGCCTGCAAACAGCTCATTCAGTTGGTCTGCCAGGTGGCTGCACACAGCCATTTTGGAAACCAGAACTGCTCTTCAAGCTGTTAATTTGCCACCGCTAGCCTCCAGTATTCCTTAAAATTTTGCAAAATATTTTTGGTTTTGCTGTTGTTTCGGTAAACCATAACCAACATAAAAGGTATAGCTATTGCTCTCAGTCATTACTTCAGCATGGCCAGTATTATGACAACTTCGTGAATGCTCGAGAACTTCATATGCTCTTAAATATTCTTGTGCTCCGTTTTGTGCTGACCAAAGGGGCCCAGCCCAAGCCCTACTCCTCCTTTTCCATCCTACTGCATGTTTCCAAACTAAAGTCCAAAGCAGGACATCTGCTCATGCAGTGGAGAAGGACTGTAGCAAAAGCAAATAGCACTGGCAGTACGAAGAAAGCTGTGGTGGCTCCAGCTCTGGTTTGTGCTGCTTGCTCTGCCACCAATGTGAACTGCTCAGATCCGAGCTCAGCTCAGGTGGGGGACAACAGCAACAGCAACAACAACAACAACAGCAACAACAACAACAACAACAACTACTACTACTACTACTACTACTACTACTACTATTACTACTGCTATTACTACTGCTGTTGCTACTACTACTACTGCTACTACTACTACTAAAACCCCAACAGTTGGCTTGCCTCTCCATTATAATTTCCCAAACTCCTATTCACTCAGAAGCCTTAATAGTAGCATGTGATAGTACATATCCACATTGTTTATGGTTCAGGATCATGAAAAGATTCCTGTGGCAGTGTTTAAACTATCTGAAATGAATAGTAGGTTCTGGTTCTCAACT